AGTCGACCCTACATCGACCCCACCCTTGTGTTCGACCCTACATCGCCCCACCCTTGTCGTCGACCCTACATCGCCTCACCCTTGTCGTCGACCCTACATCGTCCCCACGCCCCACCCTTGTACTTTAGCTTGTCCACCCCCCCTGCCTACGCCTCTTGGTTCCTCATGTGCAAACAAAGCTCTAGAATTCTAGACAGAAGAGAAAAGCTGAACTATAACGATGGGCTATAAATAGAAGTACCATCAAGCCAGCACGTCTTGGGCGTGCTGCCCACGTCACGGAGCCAAAGAGTTCTAGACACACAACACCGGAAATCAAATGAATACGTCACTTCTGAGATTGAAAAACAGAATTGGAAATTAGAAGTTGGTGGAAGCCACGACTGGTGTTTGAAGTTAACTTGACGTCAAGTACCGGGGTACACTTATTGTTCAGCCGTGGTATGGACATGGTACAGTCGTGGTACAGTCGTAGTTTCGCATAGTACAGTCGTAGAATGCGCATGGTACGGGCATGGTACAGTCGTGGAATGGGCATGGTACAGTCGTAGTTTCGCATAGTACAGTCGTAGAATGCGCATGGTACGGGCATGGTACAGTCGTGGAATGGGCATGGTACGGGCATGGTACAGTCGTGGTAAGGGCATGGTACAGTCGTGGTAAGGGCATGGTACGGGCATGGTACAGTCGTGGTATGGGCATGGTACAGTCGTGATAAGGGCATGGTACAGTCGTGGTACGGGCATGGTACGGGCATGGTACAGTCGTAGTTTCGCATAGTACAGTCGTAGAATGCGCATGGTGCGGGCATGGTACAGTCGTGGAATGGGCATGGTACGGGCATGGTACAGTCGTGGTAAGGGCATGGTACAGTCGTGGTAAGGGCATGGTACAGTCGTGATAAGGGCATGGTACGGGCATGGTACAGTAGTGGTATGGGCATGGTACGGGCATGGTACAGTCGTGGTATGGGCATAGTACAGTCGTGATAAGGGCATGGTACGGGCATGGTACAGTAGTGGTATGGGCATGGTACAGTCGTGATAAGTTCATGGTACGGGCATGGTACGGGCACGGTACGGCCATGGTATAGTCGTGGTACGGCTAGGATGTGTTGTGTGTTTAGCTCAGATGTTATTTGTGATGTTTCCCATGAGTGAGCCAGACTGCTGGTATATGAGCTTAAAATAATAGATTGTATATATTGTATACTCTACATAAACCTAGCTTGATACCACAATGACATGGTTCCATGATCTTAGCTATTGTGATGGTGATCAGTGGCATAGGTGGGCTAGCAGTAAGGTTGAGTTGGACGGTAGCTTTGTTTAAAATAGTGTATTTTAGAGCATGCTTAAAACTAACTGGTCTTGATGATCATGGTGACATCCAACTAGTGAAACAAATTAACAACGATATTGTATAAAAACGGGCAATACTGACTAAAATACAGGAAATTAAGATGTTTTATAGATTTTGATTATCGAGATGTTTTTGTGTAGGCCTATATTCCAATATATTAAGTAAAGGCAGAAATGCGATGACCTAAATAGGCAAGTGTCATATGTTGAGATAAAACCGATACATGCAACAAAGAATGGAGCAGACACTATCTGCTTACATGGACCCATGTGACACAAATTACCAACTCATTACAATCAACGGAAAAATCCATTTCTACAAACACCAACAAGCATGTCAGTCAATGTACTGAAAGAATAACATGTTGTTTTCTTCAAACGTTATAGGTTTTATACTCTCGATGTAAGTAGTGGGGGGGGGGGGGACTAGGTAAGTGTCAAGCCAACATAAAGTTAACACCACTTCAACAAGAAGTCAAATGAATCCAATTTGAAATCATTCTATTAGTTTAAACAAAAGATTGGACCCATTTATCTAACCAGACGTCTTGAGTGTTGTAGCTCTAAATACAATTCCAACTATTTACATCGCGATCTAATTCCAGGATGAGGCTGAAAGATAATTATCGACTCATTAAAATTAGTCGCCCAGACTCATTAAAATTAGTCGCCCAGACTCATTAAAATTAGTCGCCCAGACTCATTAAAATTAGTCGCCCAGACTCATTAAAATTAGTCGCCCAGACTCATTAAAATTAGTCGCCCAGACTCATTAAAATTAGTCGCCCAGACTCATTAAAATTAGTCGCCCAGACTCATTAAAATTAGTCGCCCAGACTCATTAAAATTAGTCGCCCAGACTCATTAAAATTAGTCGCCCAGACTCATTAAAATTAGTCGCCCAGACTCATTAAAATTAGTCGCCCACCTCCCTGAAGAAAGTAGAGTCGAATTTACGTAGATTTTCTCTTCTGGTCTGCGCATGTCTGGGTTTCAGCACGTAGCTGATGTTGACATTAGTCGGTCAGCGTCTCACACAATCATCGCTTGTTGGGGCTATAGAGTGGTCAGTGTCTCACACAATCATAGCTTGTTGGGGTATAGAGCGGTCAGTGTCTCACACAATCATCGCTTGTAGTGAGTGTTGGGGCTATAGAGCGGTCAGTGTCTCACACAATCATCGCTTGTAGTGAGTGTTGGGGCTATAGAGCGGTCAGCGTCTCACACAATCATCGCTTGTTGGGGCTATAGAGTGGTCAGTGTCTCACACAATCATCGCTTGTAGTGAGTGTTGGGGCTATAGAGCGGTCAGCGTCTCACACAATCATTGCTTGTTGGGGCTATAGAGCGGTCAGTGTCTCACACAATCATCGCTTGTAAGGCTTGTTGGGGCTATAGAGCGGTCAGTGTCTCACACAATCATCGCTTGTTGAGGCTATAGAGCGGTCAGTGTCTCACACAATCATCGCTTGTTGGGGCTATAGAGTGATCAGTGTCTCACACAATCATTGCTTGTTGAGGCTATAGAGCGGTCAGTGTCTCACACAATCATTGCTTGTTGAGGCTATAGAGCGGTCAGTGTCTCACACAATCATTGCTTGTATGGCTTGTTGGGGCTATAGAGCGGTCAGCGTCTCACACAATCATCGCTTGTAGGGATTGTTGGGGCTATAGAGCGGTCAGCGTCTCACACAATCATTGCTTGTTGAGGCTATAGAGCGGTCAGTGTCTCACACAATCATTGCTTGTTGGGGCTATAGAGTGATCAGTGTCTCACACAATCATCGCTTGTTGGGGCTATAGAGTGATCAGTGTCTCACACAATCATTGCTTGTTGAGGCTATAGAGCGGTCAGTGTCTCACACAATCATTGCTTGTTGAGGCTATAGAGCGGTCAGTGTCTCACACAATCATTGCTTGTATGGCTTGTTGGGGCTATAGAGCGGTCAGCGTCTCACACAATCATCGCTTGTAGGGATTGTTGGGGCTATAGAGCGGTCAGCGTCTCACACAATCATTGCTTGTTGAGGCTATAGAGCGGTCAGTGTCTCACACAATCATTGCTTGTTGAGGCTATAGAGCGGTCAGTGTCTCACACAATCATTGCTTGTATGGCTTGTTGGGGCTATAGAGCGGTCAGCGTCTCACACAATCATTGCTTGTATGGCTTGTTGGGGCTATAGAGCGGTCAGCGTCTCACACAATCATCGCTTGTATGGCTTGTTGGGGCTATAGAGCGGTCAGCGTCTCACACAATCATTGCTTGTATGGCTTGTTGGGGCTATAGAGCGGTCAGCGTCTCACACAATCATCGCTTGTATGGCTTGTTGGGGCTATAGAGCGGTCAGCGTCTCACACAATCATCGCTTGTATGGCTTGTTGGGGCTATAGAGCGGTCAGCGTCTCACACAATCATTGCTTGTATGGCTTGTTGGGGCTATAGAGTGGTCAGCGTCTCACACAATGATCGCTTGTTGGGGCTATAGAGTGGTCAGCATCTCACACAATCATTGCTTGTAAGGCTTGTTGGGGCTATAGAGCGGTCAGTGTCTCACACAATCATTGCTTGTATGGCTTGTTGGGGCTATAGAGTGGTCAGCGTCTCACACAATGATCGCTTGTTGGGGCTATAGAGTGGTCAGCATCTCACACAATCATTGCTTGTAAGGCTTGTTGGGGCTATAGAGCGGTCAGTGTCTCACACAATCATTGCTTGTATGGCTTGTTGGGGCTATAGAGTGGTCAGCGTCTCACACAATGATCGCTTGTTGGGGCTATAGAGTGGTCAGCATCTCACACAATCATTGCTTGTAAGGCTTGTTGGGGCTATAGAGCGGTCAGTGTCTCACACAATCATTGCTTGTATGGCTTGTTGGGGCTATAGAGCGGTCAGCGTCTCACACAATCATTGCTTGTTGGGGCTATAGAGCGGTCAGTGTCTCACACAATCATTGCTTGTAAGGCTTGTTGGGGCTATAGAGCGGTCAGCGTCTCACACAATCATTGCTTGTAAGGCTTGTTGGGGCTATAGAGCGGTCAGCGTCTCACACAATCATTGCTTGTATGGCTTGTTGGGGCTATAGAGCGGTCAGTGTCTCACACAATCATTGCTTGTATGGCTTGTTGGGGCTATAGAGCGGTCAGTGTCTCACACAATCATTGCTTGTATGGCTTGTTGGGGCTATAGAGCGGTCAGTGTCTCACACAATCATTGCTTGTATGGCTTGTTGGGGCTATAGAGCGGTCAGTGTCTCACACAATCATTGCTTGTATGGCTTGTTGGGGCTATAGAGCGGTCAGTGTCTCACACAATCATTGCTTGTATGGCTTGTTGGGGCTATAGAGCGGTCAGCGTCTCACACAATCATTGCTTGTATGGCTTGTTGGGGCTATAGAGCGGTCAGTGTCTCACACAATCATTGCTTGTATGGCTTGTTGGGGCTATAGAGCGGTCAGCGTCTCACACAATCATTGCTTGTATGGCTTGTTGGGGCTATAGAGCGGTCAGTGTCTCACTCAATCATCGCTTGTTGGGGCTTTAGAGCGGTCAGTGTCTCACTCAATCATCGCTTGTAGGGGCTATAGAGCGGTCAGTGTCTCACACAATCATCGCTTGTAGGGCTTGTTGGGGCTATAGTAATGGGAATCTACAGGATCAACTTCAGACAATGGCGACATTCTATCAACTTTAGACAATGGCGACATTCTATTAACTTTAGACAATGGCGACATTCTATCAACGTCAGTGGCGACATTCTATCAACTTTAGACAATGGCGACATTCTATCAACTTTAGACAATGGCGACTTTCTATCAACTTTAGACAATGGCGACATTCTATCAACCTCAGACAATGGCGACATTCTATTAACCTCAGACAATGGCGACATTCTATCAACCTCAGACAATGGCGACATTCTATCAACTTTAGACAATGGCGACATTCTATTAACTTCATACAATTTAATCAACCAGAACTATATCGGTAATTTATCGAATTCTGAAACTAACAGCATTGAATCAGTTTCAGACAACATTCAATCAACTTCAGACTTCATTTCATCAACTTCAGACAGTCTTTTTATCAACTTCATATCAAACAAGATTCAATCAGGAAGGTAATAAAATCAACTTCTGATTCCTAACTTCAGAAAATCTTCAAGACATTAGCGTAAAAACTGCTTATGTTCAAATTTAGAAAATGAACCTGAGACATTAATTTGATATAATTAACTTGACATGATAACCAACTTCAAAGATTTTGATAACTAACTTCTTAATAAAGAACTTTCGCCCAACACTTTGTAGAACTACCCCTAGAAAAATAGCGTCAATATTCTGCTACAGCATGCCAAGAAACTCAAGGATGAAACCGCTCACGTTTCACACCTCAAGACAACACAATTTTCCTGACAAAAGATTTCTTTTTCCCCCACTCTGTATGAATCTTGTCTTTGTGCATAAAAAAACAAAACAAGAAAAATATATATTTACGTAACATCTGATTATTGTGTGGAAAGTAAAAACACGAGACAAACCCTATTAAAGATTTTTCATACATTTCCTAAGAGGATAAAATTTTTTGTGCCGAAGACAAGACCAGAATGATGCATCATCTGCTTACATGTTCCATTTAAACTTCTCAAGCTGTAGAAGAAGTGTGGATGTACAAAACACGTGGGTGAGCAACTTGGTCACGTGGGTGAGTAACTTGGTCACGTGGGTGAGTAACTTTGTCACGTGGGTGAGTAACTTGGTCACGTGGGTGAGTAACTTGGTCACGTGGGTGAGCAACTTGGTCACGTGGGTGAGCAACTTGGTCACGTGGGTGAGTAACTTGGTCACGTGGGTGAGTAACTTGGTCACGTTGGTGAGCAACTTGATCACGTGGATGAGCAACTTGATCACGTGGGTGAGCAACTTGGTCACGTGGGTGAGCAACTTGGTCACGTGGGTGAGTAACTTGGTCACGTGGGTGAGTAACTTGGTCACGTGGGTGAGCAACTTGGGTCACGTGGGTGAGCAACTTGGTCACGTGGGTGAGTAACTTGGTCACGTGGGTGAGCAACTTGGTCACGTGGGTGAGTAACTTGGTCACGTGGGTGAGTAACTTGGTCACGTGGGTGAGCAACTTGGTCACGTGGGTGAGTAACTTGGTCACGTGGGTGAGCAACTTGGTCACGTGGGTGAGCAACTTGGTCACGTGGGTGAGCAACTTGATCACGTGGGTGAGCAACTTGGTCACGTGGGTGAGCAACTTGGTCACGTGGGTGAGTAACTTGGTCACGTGGCAGTGTACTCACTAGCGGTGTGTTTGAGTATCGGTGTTTGCCCCCCCCCCCCGTATGCGTGCCTAACCAGGGACGTGCACAGTGCCAGAACATTCGGACATCACGTTTCTCCGTCTGCTAGCCTTGGTTCAATGACCTAAGGCGATCTCATGGCATCGTGGTATTAATGGCGTATGGCCAGCGCTTGTATTGAACCAACGATGGATAGCTACGGCTATAGGTCACTATGGCCGTAGTTATCCATCTTTGGTTCCACGATCTATGACCATAGCTAGCCATCGTTGGTTCAATGACCTATGGCCCTAGCTAGCCATCGTAGGTTCAATGACCTATGGCTACCACAGTTAAATGCGTATTCGGTATTTTAAATACCTTTTGTAACTGTCAATCAGCAGTGTGACCTTCAAATCCTCGGCAGGTCAGCAGGTCAGTAGGTCAAAAGAACCAGGAAGCTACAAGCAAAAGCTAACCTCGGCCCATAAGTCAGCAGATCAGCAAGACCAGGAAGTAACAATCTAGAGCTAACCTCGGCCCATAGGTCAGCAGGTCAATAGGTCAGCAAGACCAGGAAGTAACAATCTAGAACTAACCTCGGCCCATAGGTCAGCAGGTCAATAGGTCAGCAAGACCAGGAAGTAACAATCTAGAACTAACCTCGGCCCATAGGTCAGCAGGTCAATAGGTCAGCAAGACCAGACAGTAACAATCTAGAGCTAACCTCGGCCCATAGGTCAGCAGGTCAGCAAGTCAGCAAGACCAGGAAGTAACAATCTAGAGCTAGCCTCGGCCTAACAACAATGTGTCATTTGATGACCTGGCTAAAATATCAAGGCTGATCAAATTCATTTCCTTTAGGGCCACTAAAATAAACAAGTGACGTCACGTGACGACACTGATCAAATTTGTTTCCTTTAGGACCACTTCAATACTTGACGACGGACTCTTATATTTTAAAAAGTAATATTTGTATCACAATTTTAGCAGTGTTTTCATATTTTAAGAAATATATTGTTTTGTGTCTGGCTGTTAGTATCGACCAATAACTCCAATCATACCTAAGCTCAATAAATATTTTTAAAAAAATTAGTTACAAAAAAATCAATGATCGCAATTTTGGAGAGATTTGTTGGCTAAAGTATGGCGTCCTTTTAAAGTGTGACAATTTGGAGAGGGTTAAAAATTGTCACAAAAATTGTGACATGATTTACTGCCGACCCCAAAAATGGCTAGACTAGGGTATATTACTGACGACCCCAAAGACGACATCAATGGCTAGACCGGGCTAGACCGGTGCTGCCTTTTTCCAGGGTCCTGGTTTCTGCCCGGTTTATCCGGTTTCAACGTAACCGGAAAACCGGATCTCTGACCGGCTAGAGTGAACTAACGAGTGCGTGGCCTAGTGGTCAGACCCGGTCGCCCCGTGAGACAAATAATCGTCGGCTCCAGCTATTTGAACATTACGTGCGGCTGGGTGACTGCCTGACTTTAAAGGACGCCAAATCAAAAAGTTCCCGGAAACATCACACACTCAAGTGTAGGCTGACGCTTGTTTTGTGACCTCAAATTTTTGGATTATTGCTGCCTCGCAGAATTTAAAAAAAAAAAAAAATTGAAGACTCGGCATTTTTTGACACTCCATTTCCATCTTTATGAAATTTTAAATATTTTTCTTTGAAGGTTTAAAATATCTAGGTCTGTGGTTACACGCTTAATTTTTTTTTTTTGCAAACATGATGCTTAACAGCCCAACGCTTAACGGATTAACAAGTTAGATGAACCGATTTGGACATAGCTGTGACGTTAGACCTTGATATCTGAGGCTCGCAGTGGATAATCCGTGAGTTATTTTTAGATTTTGATTTTTCGTCCATTAAGTGGCATTATTGGGTCAAGTTTAATTAGGCAACACAACTAGACACACTTATAGAGACAAGCAGCATTTCAGCAAAAAATTGAAGTGATCTTTTGTAAAGTTTTAAGTAAAGGCCGAGTTTTATTTCAACTTAAGAAACAGTGTGCACATGATAATCATTGTGAAATTATACCCACGTACATAAATAACATAGCAACAACAATAGGTCAACACCACGAGCATTACAATACAAAATGTGACATTAGTGTAACGAATGTTCAAGCATATGTATTCATCAATTACCTTTTGTTTTCAACCAATTCAATATGATCTTTTTATCAACATATTATAAATGTACACAATAGCCAGAAATGTATTACACAAAGATGTTTACACAAGTTAAATAATATTCATATTGGAGCTCTTTAGTTTGTGTACATTTTGACGGCGAAGTAAGCAATGACTTCAATATACGGTAGTCATAGAAACGCTAAAGTAAATTTTAAAGGTAGAATTATCATAAGCTTTTATTTAGTTCAAACTGTCTGTTCGTTTTTTGTTTGTTTGTTTGTGGGATGTGGGAAAAAATTTGTAACTTAATTTTGACCCAGTTCTAATGCAGCCATTTCGTTTTAACTTTACAGATTCAATCCTCTCCGGTGACAATGCAAAAAAAAAAAAAATAAAAATACATAAATAATAGTTAATCCAATTAGACATTACATTATTCACTAAAATGTAATTAACGAATTACTAAATTCAATAATAAAATGGGAGGTAACAAGATTAAATACTTGAGATAACTTTTTCAGCTGACCGTCAACGGTGAACTGTTTTTTCACGGCTGAATGATTTTTTTTTACCTGACTGTGGACTAGAAGCAGATGATTGCCTTTAAAAGATTGCAAGCTATAGAGTGGATTTTTATCAAATAGTTTTAATTGTATCCCTTGCGCTGCGAACTTCATTTAGAACCAATGAGTAAAAACTCTAACTTAAAATAGAACAAAAATTTAAACCATTATAATAATAAGCTTTTAAATGAACTGAAAATAAGAAAATAAAACTAATGTACTCCCTTTAATTAAGCACTGGTCATTAAAATATGTAAAATATCTTATGAACGACCAATGATAATTATTCTATTTTCAGTGCACTTAAAAGCTTATTATTATAGAGTTTTTTTTTAAAAAATATTTGTTTTATTTTAAGTTGCAGTTATTTTTTTAAAGTTACCATTTTAACGTTCACGTTTACAATTAAATCGTGAATGATTGTTGCATTGTTTCACAAAACGACCTAGACTAACAGACAATAAAATCTGGGCGAAAGTTTACTTTAATACTTTCCAACATTAGCCTATACACTATACTCCTACACGTCATGACGTATACAGACTGACAAACGATCTTGGCTTTTGTGTATACACTTGGGGGTTCAAGTTATATATTTTATGTTACTATCAATTTTAGATACAAAACGGTTTAAATTAGGTTCCATATAAAATATTCACTAATATAAAAGTGTAATGATTATAAAATCTGAAGGTACAAGTGAACAAAAAACTAAAGTTCCAGGAAGTTGTCAGTAAACCTTGTAAGTAGACAGCCAACGTTTAGGATTAGGCCCATAGTGACAAACATAACTAAAGATTAACTGTGTACTTGGGACGGGGTGGAGGGGGGGGGGGAATCACCACCAGGGATTAGTGCGGAGATTAACTGTATAAATTTCACGTCAGCTGACGTGTAGGTGAGATCACGAGAAGGGGAGGGCTGGGAAAATGGTTGCCTGTTTTGTGAGAGATCGATGACCAGTACACGATTGTAAAGTTTCGGATAAGATGTAAGTAAATAATTTTAATAGCTTAAGGCCTGATATTTAGAGCTATTTTTTTTTTAAAAGCTGTTTTTCAGGATCAAAGAAATCTTGGAGAAAAAAAAAAACTAAATCATTTAAAACTACCCAACGAGATTTTGATGGCATTCACCTGATTGTTTATTCCACTTTAAGGTCAGCGACGTACTTTACCTCAAAAACCCATTTAGAGTTTACTATATAACTGTTAATAAACTTACTTTTTGGACAGTTATTTCCCTTCTTTCGAGGGATTTAATTTAAGGAAAGTAGTCGGATATTTTTTTTTTTTGCTAAACGTTAACTAAAAATAGATCTAACCCTCGATTGTTAAAAAAAAAAGTATCATTTTTTGATCGGACTTTAAGAAATAATATCTTAAATAATTTGATTTCAAAAGAAACTATTATTTAATTTGATCTAATATGTTTGATAATTAAACTTTTGCTATTACAGTGTAAAATGCATGTAACTATTTTTAAATAAAAGATAGTAGGAACATCTATGGCTACTGTTGTGGTCATCTGTCTGTTACTTAACAGGACATCGTGGTCCTAATGGGCCCCAATGGGCTGTAATGCAATATTGACGGACTATTGTATTGTAACACAAAATATTTACGAATGATGAGATGGAAGAATGGACGCGAGGGAGGAATGTTTAAATAAAAAAAAGAGTAAGTGACAAATGTCTCGAGACAAACTGACATCTGTAAACATAATCACCGTGTGAACACCAGACATTTCATTCTTCTCGGTTCAAAATCAAGACGGGCCAACCGTCCGAATGTGCCAAGACTAAAATACCCACTGTAATATTTTTTGAGATTTATTAAAAAAATAGAAAGACTAAAAAGGATACCACTATAATATTTTTGGAGATTTATTAAAAAAATAGAAAGACTAAAATATTTCTTGAGCCGTACTAAAAATGATACACACTAAAACATTTCTGGAGATTTATTCCACAGTTCAACAAAATGCCCCCCCCCCCCCCAAATTGAACAAAATAGCTACTCAATACCTCAACAAAATGGCCTCTTCCTTAGTTCGATACTATGGCTACACCATAGTTCAATAAAATGTCCCCCCTACTGCATTTAGTAAGTTATATCTCGGTTTTAATTAGGTTTTTTCTGCTCGATACAGCCCTCGGCTGGGAACTGAAGCTGATGCTCATCACTCACGTGCATTACACTCATCTTTTGTTCTTGAGATTGTTACCTGGGGCAAATGGGGAGGGGTGGGGTGGGGCAGTTTGGTTAAGGTGTTAACAATCTTTAAAAAATACATTTGGCACAATAAAAAAATGGCTGGTTATTATATTTTAAGTACATATTTTACCCAACACACAATGGTACAGGATTTTGTCGCTTGATTGTCAAATTACATACCAGGCAATAAGTGTCACATGACGTGACACGTGATTCACGTGACTTTGTGTTGACAAGGTTCAAGGACATCCATAAATAAACTATACGCATTTAAAACACGCGTTTAATAAATACTAAGCCACATTTAATACGTTTAAATAACCAATACTGCTTGTAAGAGTAACACAGTTTTCTCAATGTAAGAGTCAGTGAGTACTTTCCTTTTTAGAGTCAGTGAGTACTTTTCTTTTGAGAGTCAGTGAGTACTTTCCTTGTGAGAGTCACTAAGTACTTTCCTTTTTAGAGTCAGTGAGTACTTTCCTTGTGAGAGTAACTAAGATCCTCTCTTTATGAGAGTCACTATATCCTCTCTGTGTGAGAGTCACTGGATCCTCTGTGTGTGAGAGTCACTGGAGAGTCATGTAGCTCACGTCCTGCAGACGTGAGAGGAGTCATCATTCTCCGAACACAGCGACTTCCTCCCGTAGTAGCTGAGCCCGTTTTCCGTCACCTCGGAAATTTTGCTCAGCTCTGGAATAAAATCCGTCCCCTTGGCCAACGATTTGTCCTTGCCGTGGTCCGTAAGGACCAGCGAGTCGTACTTCCGGTGCTCGTCGTTATAGACGCTGGTGAACTCTACCATCTGGGTGTTGGACTGGCGCCTGCACAGTCTAGGAACGTCTCCTGAACCGTTCCCGAATTGTGAGAACACTCGCCGACTGCTTTGAGAAGACGCAGATTGTTTTCTTCCGCTCCGCTCACACAGGAAGCAGAGGGCGCCGCGCATGCGCTGGAACATGGATAAGTATCCCTGGTGGAACTTAGGGTTCATCCACCAGTAGATGAATGGATTGTAAGCGCAGCTGCTCATGGCGATCCAGTGCGCTGCGACCCAGAGGATGCGGATGTAGGGGGCGTAGACCAGCTCGTTGTTGATGTCTGACGCTATGGTGATGGCGTGGAGCGGAAGCCAGCAGATGCCATAGATGCTGACGACTGTTATCATCATCTTGATGATCTGCGGAGCAGAAGGAGAGAGTTAATGTCCCGCATGGAATAACATGAATTAGAAACATTTCAACATAGGCCGTCTTGGGGTGAAATTTTGGACGACAAAATATAGATTTAAAAAATATAAATTAGGCGGGAGTAAGCTCCCCTGTGCTTTCTCGTACACATATCTTCGTAAATAAAAGAAAGGGTTGGAAGGTCAGTCTTAATTGATCCGGGCTATAGTCAGTGTTTCTTCCAGACTTTTTCTCCGGGGGGGGGGGCACTTGATATTTTCTGGGGGGGGGGGGGGGGGGGGAAGAAACTCTGGCTATAGAGACGGTGGGGTTAGGTTTGTGGATGACAGGCTTAATTCTCAGCCCACCCTTAATTAGCTATTTACATAGGCCTACTAAGTAAAAAAAAACCCCAAAGATAAAAAAACCCAACAAAAAACATTTTGTTAAAAAATATTAGTTAATGAAACGCCTTAAAACTGTTAATACAACTGATAATAAACTACTAAAGTAGTGAAGTAATTGACCTATTGATATAAGATAGTTAATTTCAATTCCAGTAGGCTAATTAATATAAGAAACTTAAAATACAGATAGAAAGACCCGGTATTTCATCTTGGTAGTTATTTCCCTTATTTGGTGCATGATCTATTGATCTGCGATGCCACCTTTTGGCTTCACATTTAGGATTAGATTACAAAAAACAAAAACAAAAAACCCACAAAAAACTGAACCCTAAATAACATAAAAAAGGAAAAAAAAACAACTAAAAACAAACAACCCAGAATTGCGTCCAATATTCATTATTTAAATTAAGTTTTGTGCTATTTTCCTTTCTTTAATTACTTTGTATACAGTTTGTTACTATCTCTTTGAAACTGTAAAAAACACTAAAATAAAAACATTTTAAAAGAATGTTTAAAAAGAAGAGAATACTCTTTAAGCGGACTGCCATGAATGTGACGGGACAAAAGTAAATCATGTTTGATTTGAAGCTTCTCCTAACATCCATACGGCTTACAATGTTAGTTTCGTTAACCACACATTTATTTTAGCTAGAGCAACAACCCACCCCACTTTTGTCTTTCTATTTATAATTAAGTTTCAATGTTTGCCCCTTCCCCAGCACCCCCCTCCCCACCCCCAACTCACCAGAGAACATTAATTCCTCATTTAAGTAATTATTTAAATTTTCAGGTTAAAAAAAAATAAAACTACACGTTTTGTATAAGTATAAATAAACTATTTTAAATGATTAAAAGTACATGTAAGAAAGAATTATTGATATAGTAAATCTGTATCAGTCCCCACAAGCCGATGATAAAAGCTGTAAAACTAAAGCGTACATGCAAGACAAACTGAATCTGTAAATTACGAGTCTGGGGCTGGCGAAAATCAAATTCTGAAGGCTCTTGTGAAATCCTATATAAAGTAAAGTACCACTTCCGGCTATCGGAAATAGCTCAAACCTCGAGATACAGAGGCTAATACTTATATAAGAGATTTACTTATATATTTACTTATATAAGATTATACTTATATAAGAGATTTCTACCTCAATGAAAATGGTCCTCAAATTATTCGTGTTTTAGACTATGAAAATTTAATATCGGAGATCACTCTAAAATTGAAGGGAATTTAGTATAGGATCTTATAATTACCTATGCAATTAAGTCTTTCTAATTGAAACGGTAATCATATTTAATTGGAAATCGAGTAAAGTTACAATTCCTTTCACGAGGAAATCGCTCAAAAGTTGAGAGAAAAAACATGCTTTTATTGTCTAACATATATATCTGAAATTTTGTCGAACTAGATAAAACTATATCTTAGCTGTCATGTTTACACCAAAACACACACACATACACATACACACACACACGCGCACACACATACTGAAATGCACATGCACACAAACAGAGACTAACACACAGACAATGTTGTAAATTTTGGTTTTTGTGGACTCGTGATGTTTTAAAACATTGAGAGTTGTCAAAATCTCCATTCAAATCTTCTTCTTGACTACAATACATCCATATACGTCTTATCAATATACGAGAAAACTATATAACCAGTGACGTACATAGCAGGCGCGTAGCGAGGGGGTGGGCGGGGGGGGGGTGCGAACCGCACCGGTGACACCATTTAGGGGGGTGACACCAAGGCAAAAAATAGCAAAATATATAGAGAAAAACTTGAAGGGGGGTGTGCAAATCGAAAGTTTGGAAAGTTTGTCCCCGGGAAGGGTCGCTTCGCCTCTGGGGGGTGACACCATTTAGTGCCGCACCGGGTGACACCCGACCTCGCTACGCCACTGGTACATAGCACAACACATACACACATATACCAGGTCAAGTGACATGCGTATTGAGTGTAATATAAATAATTGGCGAGGTCCACTTCCGGGTCACGTGATAGAGGTTGGGTGGCGTGCAACTCAAAAAATCTGGCCACTTCCCTTATGAACCAGCCAGGACCATTTCCGGCATTCGTGGAATACAAAAAAAAATAAAGTTTAAAATTTGAAACATAATTTTGATTTTACGGCGAAGATCATGTTTGATCAAATCGAGTAAAAATTATTGGGTCTAAAACCACACGCTATTAAAAAAAAATTTAAACCGTTAATCATGTAAAAGTGCAATTAGAAATTTTTTAACTGGCGTAATGATCTGCAATAAAACTAGTTAATTGCAAACATGTGTTTAAAAGGGGACCGAACATGCATTAGGACGTTTTTGTCAACACATAAAAAACCACAAGGGGAGTAAATCTCGAGTTATCAGGGGAAGTAATTTGGGCAAGTTAGCACTGGCAATAAATAAAAAAAATAACCTTAGGGCCGTAAAGTACATAGCTATAATAGAAGTCAAGTGCAGCGGTTTGTCAAAGTTAAAAAATATTTTAATTTACATCCTGCATCTGATTTAACCCACCCGCTTGTCGCCAATAAAACCTAATTATCTAATTTAGATCGACGTATTTAGCAGAGAATAAGCTGAAAAGGAAATGCCAGTGTAAGCGCCACATCCGCCATACCGGAACAATAAAGAGCTGCATTTTCTTTCCACTTTAAATAAAGAATTTAAAAAAAGTTATATTAGTACTGCATTAAAACCTGTTAAAATAAATAGAAAACTTTTTTTAAACATATTCTTTGATTTGTCTATGAGTTTAAATGAAAGTCAGATCAGATAATTTGAGGTTTGATTAGTTTAATGTCATGTAACACAAGCATTAGCATGAAACACAAGAATAAAGCAGAACAATAATTGAGATATTCCATGTTTTAGACCACGTGATTAGAACAGGAAGTGTCCAAAAAGACCGCTTTTATCCTATCTATACATATTTACATAAGATATATATTGATGATGTAATTCAATTTTCTATTTAAGATAATAATATCAAGCTGTATTTCTTCTACTTATTTCTTAATTAGCTGTAATTATCGAAGGGGATTTCCTCCAACACAATTAAGTATTACGTGTCAACATGTGATGCACAATATAAGCTGTCGACTCCTATTTCAGACTGATTTTCTTTCTGGATTTGCTTTCATAGCCTTTGTCTACCCAAGCCGACAGTTGTGTGATTTTGAGTTTTATCTCCTTGATGGGCTGGTACCCCATCCTAAAGAGCGTCAGCTGCCCCGGCGTCCGAACTCGGGACTTTTGGAGTTAGCTGTCATTTGCTCTTACGCCCGACCACGCCATTCCCTATACACACGTGGTGAGGTGGGGAGGGAAAGGGTTGTGGTGAATCGAGGTGGGGGGTGTGGTGAGGTGGGGAGGGTGTGGTGAAACGGGAAAGGGGGGGGGTATGGTGAGGTGGGGAGGGTTATGGTGAGGTGGAGAGGGGAGGGGTGTGGTGAGGTGGGGAGGAGTGTGGTGAGGTGGGGAGGGGTGTGGTGAGGTGGGGAGGGGTGTGGTGAGGTGGGGAGGGGTGTGGTGTGGTGAGATGGGGAGGGGAGGGGGGTGTGGTAAGGTGGGGAGGGGGTGTGGTGATATGGGGGTGGGAGTGTGGTGGGGAGGGTGTGTGGTGATATGGAGGAGGGGGTGTTGTGAGATGGGGTTGGGAGTCTGGTGGGGTATGGTGAGGTGGGAAGGGGGGTGTGGTGATATGTGGGTGGGAATGTGGAGGGGAGAGGGTGTGGTGATATGGAGGAGGGGTGTGGTGATATGGAGGAGGGGTGTGGTGATATGGAGGAGGGGTGTGGTGATATGGGCAGATGATGTGGTGAGCTTGAACGGGGTGATAATTGATTGAGTTATCACACGGAGAATCATTACGTCACCGTGTTGCGTGGTGTGGGGGAGGGACGGCGCCAAGATGTAATTGTCTCGCCACTACGGGCAGCCCTACATGGAACAACAGACCAGACTGGCACCGGAAATTGGTAAACAAGAGGTCAAAGCTGCGAAAAAACCTGGCCAGCCACTGGCCAATCATTGTGTGCACTTTCGCGTCAAATCATCACGTGACGCCCGTTGACAGCCGGGTAATGGATCCGGCGTCCCCACCTGATCTACGGCGACCTTCAGTGTGACCTTCATCTATTGGCATGCAAATCACAGAACTGGATCGATCGGTCGATCACGAAAAACAAGAAGGGATTGCGGGAAAATGATTGGAAAATGTGCAGGAAAAACAAGTGATCTATTTGCTAAGTCTAATTTGTTGCAAGATGGATCAGAAGCTAACAATTTATGTCGATGCTTGTATGTATTGTGAGCTGGTAAGTCGTGCACGGTATTTTGCTCACGTTTCTCACATCATCACATGACTCATTCAAGGTTGTTTAGTTGCATGTAGCTTGACCAACTAACCAACTGACCAGCTACCTCACAATTAGATTAAGATACCAGGTAACCCACATTAGCCATATATATCACTTAACCCACATCACCGTGTGCAGATGACAGGATATATTATATATATATATATATATATATATATATATATATATATATAATATTTTTAATATACATATTAAAACGTA